CTCGTACAGGGAAAAACAATTTTACTTTCAATGTATATATATAACAATGATTATATATCAGTTGGGTATTTTTTTAACACCATAATATTTTTTTTACTTTTGATGTGTTTCCTGGTGTGTTTCCAGGAATTTATTTAGAAATACACCTGCAATTCGCGTGTTAAAAGGATATATTGAACACTGGAGGATTTTGTCATCTTGTTACGTAGGTTGGTATCTACTCCAAGTGACAAATCTAAAAATAAACAAATTTTCACTACATTATCATCAATGTCTTGGGTGAGCTTAATTTTCTAGGTTTATAATCAAATGCTTTCTATATTTTTTTTTTTTGCGTGAGCTTTATCGAGGCTCCAGTGACTGCTGAAACCTCAGACTTTCAAATGCACAATGCGACAGAATTTAAAGGTCAAAATACCTCATGCGGTTAACATCTCATGTGCATGTAATAAGATGAAGCCTTCCTAGAACTGGCAAGCCAGTTGTTAGTTTTTAAAGTGAAGTATAGGGGGCACTACAGTAGCAGTAGCATTTATGCAGTGGAAGTTAATCAGAAATTGTGCAATACTGTGTGAAACATGGAAGCTAATTAATAACAAGAACAATTATATGGTAAATACATGACATGGCAGCAATTACTTAAGTTAAGTGAGTGTTATGAATTTTTTATGAACAGCTATTGAAGACATTTTTATGTAAATATTAAGACCAATTTTTGGGCTTTGGTTCCAACCTGATCTGTCACAAAATCAGCTACCAAACTTTATGATACCCTTACGCACTAGAAATGTATTTTTATATTTTAAAACTAGTGTACTATTATTTATTTTCTATCATTTAATATTGCTTCATGGCATGTTCTGAAAATTTGTGAAATCATCATTTATTGATGACTTAATTTTCAAATTATCCAAACATGCTCTAGGTTCAAATGTTTTTTTTTTCCAGTAACTTAAACCTCCCTCCCCCCCACTACCAACAAAATCCTTACCACAAGTACACTTAACCCCATGGTCTAATACTAACGTGACCCCTTCAACTTGATCTCTATTCAATGGTCAGTGGAATAATGTAATGGAGGCACCAAATACTTTAGTTTGGCAAGTTACTGGGGATTTCTAGGTGAAAAACAAGAAAATTGGTTCCCGGAGGCTTAAGATTGTGGTATCTCAAATTATTGAGGACTGGGATAATGTTTGATGTACAAAAAGGCCTGATGTCTTTGGCAAATTTCCGACTTCTTTTCATAACTATTACAACTACTACTTGTAGTTTTACCACAATCAGGCACTCATAACTCTCTTTTAAGCTATCAATGACCATCATATTATCAACTAACAAAATCAAAATGACCCACCAAATAGGATTAAAATCATTTTTTTTTCTCATTGGCTAAAGCCAGGGTTTAAGCTTTTGTGCAAGCCTTTACGCTAAATGAAAAGTGAGATGCATTTCTTTAGTTTCAATTTATAAGAATGCACCTTTCGCAGAGGAGGGGGAATTCCCTTACTTGAGGATAAAGTTTCTGTAGACTAATTGGAAACAAATCAGAAAGATTTGAAACAAAAGTTCTTGAAATAAGGACATTTCAATGGCATTTTTAAAGCAATAAGACCCAAGGAAACATTTCGTGTTAAACGTGGGCAGATCATACCCAAAGGACTCGATGGTGCAATTACATACTAAGAAAGCTTATGTCAATTTTCATTTAGCAAGCTTTTATTTTCCTTTTCATCTCATTCCAGATATCAAAAAGTCAGCGGAATGATGCAGTTTCCCCATGTTAAGGATATTAAATACCAACTTAAAATATTTTAAAATCAGTCACGATCAGACCAGAACTATGGAGACACGTGGCTGCATCCCAAGTACTCTAATCTACTAAAACTCCATTTAGGACCCACTTTCAATCCATATCAGTTCTAGTCTGAACATGGGCTAAAACAAACAGCATTTCCTACAAACTCCAATCTCCCCTATACCTCCCTTTACATTCCAATCATTTCATTTAACTTTGCCATTCATGATCTTCGTCACGTCGGGTTGTTTTCTTTTTTTATAGCGCAAAAACATCTTTATCTTTTCCCATTATGTATGACCTCGGCACCATGAAAACTACTCCCATGTGACCAAAAACTTGCGGTATGTTTCTTTCAATGCCTATTTAGCGGTGATATATGGGGGGACCATGCATATACTATAGAGGACAAATGCATAATTCATCATAATATATTTTACAAGCAGATAAAAAAGTCAGGGGGGAGCGTTTTGTCATGTGTACTTTACATGAAGGAAAGTGATTGATGGAATGCATTTACTTGTGGCTGCCCAAACTATTCTGTGTGTGTGTGTGTGTATGTGTGTGTGAGAGAGAGAGAGAGAGAGAGAGAGAGAGAGAGAGAAAGAGAGGGAGAGAAAGAGAGAGTGAAAGAAAGAGAGAGAGAGAGAGAGATCAGAGAGTGTAAGATAGAAAAAGAGACCGTGTGTGTGTGTGTGTGTGTGTGTGTGTGTGTGTGTGTGTGCGTGTGTGTGTGCATGCAAGAGAGATAGACAGAGAGAGAATTCATCACTATCTTCAAATAGATATCAAATGATCAATTCAACTCAAACAGAATGACAGAAAAACAAGATATGCTGAGATGCAAAATTCAGGACATCAAGTGACATATGTTAGACAAGATAAGTAGATCATACGATTTCTCTTATCACAATTATCAACTATTGTAACATTCAACAACAATTCCCAATGTACTGAACAACAGATATAACTCAGTGAATCAATTAATAATCATGTCAACACTCACAAAAAAGTGTGATAAACCAAACAAAACAATACAGTAATCAAAAATATACAACAATGAAAATTTTTACTATCACTGCATGCTGGATCAGACACCCAACATGTGAGCTAGGAAAATGCATTTTTTGCTGTAGAAAATGTTTAAATACATTTATCCTTGATAACACATCAGTAAGGGCAATTAACAACCTAAATTTGACTTTATGGGAAAAAAATTGTCACTTGCAGAAGCCAAGCTCTGTGACCTTGATATTTGCTCTGCTTTGTTTTATGTAGAAATTATACCCACTGTTTTTTCATCGCAAATGTTTACTTATGTTTATTTACTGATATTTTCCATCACAAATATTTAATTATCTTTCTATACATTAAGATTTGAAGTAATTTCTATCTAGGTTTGAGTGTTAATTTATGATCATATAAAATATACACTCGGTAATATACACTAATATGTTGAAAATACTAGAAAAGCACTCTGAGAGCGCAGACCTCCGCCAAGGCAGAGATTTTTGATTATTATTGATTATTGATTGATTATTGATCCGGATCACCACCAAAAACTAATCACTTCTAAGTTAACCTATTTTCCACCTACCCTGAGGTTATGTTGATGACAAACAGACAGACAGACAGACAAACAGGGGTGAAAACATAACCTCCTTGGCAGAGGTAAAAATAATGCCTTAANAAACATAAAAATGAATAAGGTATCTTACAAATAATCAACATATCAAAGGTGATCTGCATTTAAAATATTAGAAACCACTGAAATGTGAGATGCAGTGAGAATTTTTTCTTAGGAAGTGTAAAAAGAAAATGGGGAACACACTTAGTTTGGGGAAATTTTTGTGTCAATTACAGTTTGGCTCTATTTGTAATAAAATTCAGAATAGCAAAAAATTGGAATAATTCTAAACTTGAGATAACACACTAAGACCCCATTCCCTAGGCACCATCGGTCTATGTGGATCGTATTAACTCTGTTATGCTGATTGCACTTAGCAAGAGTCCCCACAGACTTGGATCAATCCATGTAGACTGATAATGTTCTGTGGGAATTGGGCCTTTTATTTATCTATTTTTCCTACCTTTTAAATTCCAATCTCTGCAAAATACTCAAGTCCTCCTCTTGCTTTTTCTTCACTCTTGTGGTGGCGTACATACAGTACACGATTGCAGTCAATATGGCGGATATTATCCCAGTTACCAAAAAGACGGGGATTGAGGATTTTGGAGGAGCTCCCCACACTTGTACAGCAAATTTGGTCCGCAGGTCGCAAAAACTGTGGGATAAGATAAAAGATGCAGAAATAAAATGAACACATTTGTAAGTAAAAATACAGTTATATAGCATATCATTTGTTATACAAATTAACATAAGTGCAAATAAAAAACAGTTAAAAAAGCACAAAGTTGATTTTTTCAAAATATTTTTGTCACTAAATTTATCTTTACCCCCCAGCTGATTCGGGAAATATTTAAACATTTCATGATAAATCAAAGCGTGAAATAAGTTATTAATATACAGGTAACAATAAGTGCAACTACCTGTGGTCCTTGCTGAGCACTATCACTTCAAATATGTAGACCAAGTTTAGACTCTTCCAGGAGACTTTGTTGTCTCCGGAGCCTCCCAAGATTTCATACTGGTCCTCATCTGATGGAGAGTATGTAGAAGTACTGAAAATGAAAGTGAAAGCAGATATACTGAAACTGAAAGTAGATATACTGAAAGTGAAAGTGAGCATTCCAGAATTATAAACAATGTAAATACTTCATTTTCTACAAAGATGTTTAACTTAAACCATTCTTTGTATCAGCCTAAAACAACTTAATTGAAAGAAAACTTACAAGTGACAAAAAGCTCAGTAAAGAATATGATGTTTTAAAATTACACTAAAAATACGGAGTCCAATTACACACACACACACACACACACATTGATAATACAATACTAGGTAACATTTCTCTTTGAAAAACTACCTGAAAAAATGTTATGCAAAATTATTCTATTATATTGTAAAAAATTATCAGAAAATAAAACACTACTCTGGCAGACTGTGTTGTCACACTGAAAATGAAAGTAATTTGAAATTGCTCTGATAATATTATCCAAAGTCATGAAGTGAAAGTTAAGCAAAGAGCAACAATCCCCTCTCAACAAGAAACAGGTAAGAATAACCAACTGACAAAAAAGGTTTTATAAACTGAAATTTAGCCCAAATAAGTATAATGGTTCATATAACAAACTCGATCCATTTGAAAATAAAACATTAAATAAAGTTGAAAAGAACACGAACTTTTGCAGTCATAACTGAAGCATTGAAAAGAAACCTTTAATATATTCCAGCAAAGCATTTCTTCAGCTGTGTAATACATTAAAAGTTCAACTTACAGTAGCAATTTCATTATAATTGTACATTAAAACTAACAATTATTTCATCATATTACTGGAATATGGAGTTATTACAACAGAAAAACTTCTTGGATAAAAAAACTACAGCGGTGATTGCAATGTTCTGTTTCCAGGCACAATTCTGACCACAAGATTCTCTTTAACTAAATACATCCCGACCCAAACTTAACACCATTCACATACAATGGTGTTTGGACTGTTGCAGCAGAGGTCACATTGGTTTGTGACCTTGGCAAACGTCCACATCTGTGACTTGGGGGTGTCGCTGTTGTGGCCGTACCTAAATCGTCATTTTCTGTGCCACGCACAGAGGGCACTTTACAACTCTCATAATTCTGAAAACATGAGTTTAAGAAAAATCAATTATCCTTTTTTGTTTTTATAACCTGCTTGTTGTTGAAAAAAATAATGCTAAAACAGATATATGTTTTTTCACCAAGTGCATCCAGTTTTTGGTAGTATTCAGATTCAGACATTGTAGCTTTATTGTCTGATATGCCTCTTCTAGCAATGAAAGGGTAACTAAGACGAGCACACTCAATAGTTCACTGCCTGAGGGGGCCTATTAGACATTTCAGCTAATTTAAGCTAATTTCATAAACTACACTTAAGCAAAAATCCCTACAAAGTTGGATCAATCCAGCTGGTACAATATGTCTGAATATGAATGTTCTATAAAACCAACACAACCATCTGTTTTTTTTTTTCTAAAAAATAAGTCCTTTTCTTATCATCCTTGGTAGGTTTTAACTTATTCTCTTTTTAATTTACTTATTTTTCACTTTTTCGACTTATTCCTTTCCAAAGAAACATATTTGAATTAAAAAAAAAAAAATCCCAGCTTCAAAGATCACCACTTTGCCTCAAACATCTGAAAGATCAATATTAACCCCATAGGATCCAGTTAATGCTGACCCATAAAGCTCTGCTGTGCCCAATTAATTCTGTGAGCTAGCCTTGAAAAGCCGGGTCACCTCAGTAAATTGGTCATAATTTATTTGTTTGCCTTTATTACCCATACAAAGTATACATTTTTAAAAAGCCAATATTTCAAGCTAAATGAAAATAGAATTACATTTAAATTTAACATGCAGTATCAAAAGTTATAGCTGGTTAAAAACTACATTTTCATTTGGTAATGGGTAAAATAAAACAAAGTTGATTTATCTTATGCACATCATTTTTTTATTTTTACATACATTTGCCTGAAAATTCACAGGGATGATGTCAACTATAGTAACTTTCAATCCAGGAAATTTCAGCAATTTATCTCTATCAATTTTCAAGTTATGATCGTTTTGCTATCAGGTATACCAGCTTTTCAGCTCACCTGAACATCGTGGCCAGAGCTGAATAGAAGTCAATTTTTACACCATCTATGACAAAAACATCTTTAAAACTTATATCATGAATAAAGGAATATCATCCCCACTGTCTATATCACTGTCATTCGAAAACACCTTATCAGTGTCGCAGTTTTCAATCATTTCAATAACAGTATTCATTCGCAGGCCCCTTCCGTAGTGAGAAGTCACCATTTTGATTTTACTTTCACCAGCTAGGTCTCGCTCATATATATTTCTATCGTCCTTTATATCATAAATAAATGAATATCAACGCCACTGTCTATGTTACTGTCACACGAAAACTTCTCTTCAAAGTCCAGATTTTCAATCATTTCAATAACAGTATCCCTTCGCAGGTCCCTACCGTAGCGAGGAGCCGCCATCTTGATTTTACTTTCTCCAACTAAGTCTTGAAAATCGCCGTTTTCTCGCTAATATATATTTCTATCGCCTTTAAAAATGGTGGCAATGAGAGACAAGAAACATACCCGGATGTTAAACTATATATCATTTTATGACTCACGATACAAAAGAGTACAGAAGACGATCTTTCCAAGATACGCACATATGCGGTTCTGGGCGTTTGGGGTAAGCGATAATTGAACCGCACATATGCGGTGACGGGCTCTATGGGGTTAATATATCATTTTATAACATATTGCCATCTTGTTGCTTGCTGTATACTCTTTCATTCTATAATCATATTTGTATATACATTTCAGAGAAAAAAAACATCTAGGGTAACAAAATCACTGATTTTCCTTTTAGAAAACTCACCATCTTAGTCCAAGCAATTGAAGGGTCAATGTGTCCCAGCTCCCTTTGTTGTTTCAACAACATGGCTGCCCATGTCTGCGGAGTTTTGTCACAGCCTGCATCCTTGATTTTCTTGGTGTAGGAATATGTCTTCATCCCATGTATTTCGTACATGATAAAGTCGTCGTGGATGTCTTCTAGGAAGGTATCTCCCTGCCAACTGAAGTTGATAAAAATCATATAAATATTGGTAGGACATATAAAATATATCTAAAGATTTTGAAAAGACAAATTAGATTTAAAAAGTGTAAAGTCCATCAAAATTCAATACATTTTCACTCTATAAACTTAGCCACGGCACTGCCTCTGGTACATACAAGTTTTGTCATCTCAACAGCTTTCATATGTGCATGGTTTTCCATTTAATATTTAATCTGGTGATTTTTTCAATGTGCATTTTATGTGTTTGATACTACAGTAATGGTATAACATTTATGTGGTGTTAGAGTCCATAAATTGGATGATTTTGTAATATCTATCTTAACATTTTTTTTCTAGTGTCGTCCCTCGACCGGTTGAATTGAGCCAAGATTTACTGTGCACCTGCAGGGAAGACGACGAGTGGAGAGGCGTAAAAGAGGCGGAGAGGCCATTACAGGGTTAAGCGGTCTTCCTTTTATGTAGGTCCGCCATATTTAGGCCGTGGACCAGTTAACACACGGCGCTTCTCATTCTGAATGACCTCTTACAGCTGTATTTCTGGCTTGAAGATGAAATCTTTATTTTAACAACTCTTAATTCTAGTGATCAACATTTTTTGTTGCCAGCCAATTTTTGAAGTGTCTCAAATGCCTTTTAAACTACTCCATTCCATCTATCTCAAACCTTGGTTTGAGCAGAAAACACTGTATTGGGAGGTTAAAATCTTACAGCTGCATTTCTGGCTTGAAGAGGGAGTTGTGGTAGGAGCTGATAGGACACCCTAAAAGCTGGTAGTCATATTTGATCTCAAGGTCAGCGGTTGCCTCCCCGTCAAATTTGCCACGCATCATTGTCGGATCAATGGTGAATCTGCAAGAAAAAATACTTATATGTAATTTACAGCCATACCCCCATAAAAGATCTCTCTCTTTTTCTCTTCTCTCTCTCTGTAGTAAGTTTATCAACTTTTTCCTACTGATTTAATTTACAAGTCTCATTTCCATAAGTTACCTACATAATATGCCTTAGGAGCATAAATGGTATATGCCAATAGAAATTCTTCTTTTTTTTTTTTCAAATGTTTAATAGTGTTTTTAAACAAGGTGAGTCAAGTAGCACATGGTAATCAAGCATATAAAATTACAATTTATCTCCCCCTAATATATATATATATATATATAATTTGTTGTGATATATAGTTATGAAGTGACCCTCCCCCTTTTCCGTCTCATTCTATCCCAGCTATGACACTCACTTAGGTATTGTGTAGGTAAAGTTCTTCATCACATCACACTCAGAGTTGTACCCAGGTGGCCTGGAAGATAACACAACATCAAACACGCTGATATGAGCACAAAGATCTTCTATGTTCATATATCTCAGTTAATGAGGTTAAGCTGCAGATTTCCTATGAAACATTAATTGAAGTCAATATCTGCACTTGTACTTTTGAACTAAGATATGAGTAAAAGACTTTATAATTATGTATTACATTGTATGGGTACTGAGATATTACCCCCCCCCCCAATCCTCTCTTGTCTCTCACTTGGACATCTGTTTTGCCCCTATATCTTGCCCAAGCTGACAAATATTTACCCCTGGATTATTACATGTATATTTACAGACACCATTGAAATAATAATAATCATATTTTTATGTAGTTAATATAAATTTATAAGTATAAAATATATGTCAGAAATCTGAATACTGACAGAGCTTTTTAAGGTATTCAAATTCTCATGTACATTCTGTTACCTTTGGATCACTATATTCACAGGCACCAGTGGCATGTAGTATGGGAAATTGGCACATTTAGCATGTATGCACTGGAATCACAGTTTGTTTTCAATAGGTTACAGATTACAAATTATAAAAAAAAATTAAATAAAAAAATACTCACAACTTAATCCGGACATGTTTTCCTGGGGGACACCCAACACTGACGTGACCAACCTGAAATTTATTTTTAAAAATTATTTTACAAATGTTACAGTCTTCAAAGGCAGATTAAAAGAATATCTGCCCTAGCCCCCATTTTACAAAAAAACTTTAATTAATTCATTTATTTCCAACCTAAGGAAAACATAGGTCCAAAGAATAATGTTTATAATAGCATTTATAATATCAGTGCCCCTTTGTATTTTGATTCCCCCTTTCAAAATAATAAATAAATAAATAAAAAATAAATAAATTCGACTTATAATGTTGCTTATTGTTGGCTGCTTATGGTGTCATGATGAGTAAATAAGTGACTTTTGCTTACTTGCAATGGATTTTTGCTGCACACCAAACTTCTCTCTGAAGCTGTCACCCTCATATTTGTAACTCCAATCTCTTCATAACTATAAATATATTTTTTTTCAAAAACATACTAATTCTAAACAAACAAAAAAAAAAAAAATCACTTTTATTAGTCACTAACAAGCATACTAAATCTGAAACAGTTGAGCTAACATAATGGGATAGCTCCAATTATATAAAGTATTATAACTCTAGTCATTTATGAGTGTTTGCTGGGACCTGCTCACAACCAATTTGATCCGTGGACTAAATGATTTAAATATGGTTTTCCCACTTGAAAACTTGCCACATAATCCCTCCTGTGAATTCATTAGGGGATAACACAACAAGCTTTCAAGTGGGTAAGCCATATGTGCACAGTGGATCAATAAGACCACAGATCAACTTTGGTCCTGAAAAGACCCTTAGACCAACAAATACATACAACCAAGACCAACAAACAAATATAAAATATCAACTCGCATGGTGTTAAGAATACCCCTCACCTTACATCACTTGAAGCCATGCATTTCTGATTCAATGAAGTAACCTAAAATAAAATAGAATAAGACGTTGAGGTAGTTGACTTATAAACCATTTAATTAAGCTCCATAATAACCTACCATAATATACCATCATTTGATTATTCTTTAAATGACATTTTACACAACAATATTTTCAATATGTTTTTTATAAAAGTCACACACACACACACACGGCTATATTCTCACCAGAGTTCTTGGAGACAGTCCACTAGCTGCTGATGGAGAGTTGACGTATCTTGATACAGTTTGTAACAAATGAGGGTTGGACATACTTAACTGAAATATTATAATTCCACAATAAATCTTTACAAGTATAATTCTAATATTGCTTCACTAGCTCCAAGAAATACATGTGCACATTTGTGCAGGCATTATTATAATATTAATAATATTTTCAAAATTATAAGTGGGATCATTTAGCCTGGAGTCAAAAAGTCAAAGATCAGTAGACTAGTCCAATAAGTGTTTTTCTTAAGCACTAACACTTTGTAAATAAATAAAATCACCAATAATTGGTTCTGTACTCCCGGCTGTGGTATAAGATTCACAGTTATCTGTGTCTTGGTGTTGATGTCAATATAGATGGTTTTGCCTTGAAAATCAGCCCCTAGAGCTTGATACTGAAAAGAAAAGACCAACATTATTAGAAAATTTGAAAAAAAAGCACAAAATATTTGGCTGATCTGAGGATTTTTTTTTTCATTTCATGCAAATTTATTGTCTTATGTTGCCTGATAATCTAGGAAACTATTCTTAATTTTTTTCAAATTACAGGCAAAGTGGTGTTCAATCCCTAAGCACTGCATATATATAGAACCTTGTTTTTGAATTAGTAGGAGAAAGTTCCCCATTTATGAAGAGTCATCCAATTAAAAAAGTGCAATTATCAATGAAAAGAAAGTGTACTTAGTATGCCATATACACTGCGACACAATAGAAAAAAAAAAAAAAAAATCCAGTCCAGCCAACACAGGAAACAGCCATTTGCACAAAAACAGGCAGGTATATAGAAGTTAAACATAATACTACGTAATTAATATTGTCGATGCAACGTAGCAAGTGGCACAACTTGTTTTTCATTGGATCATCCACTATGTTACTTGCTTATCGTTGGGTCGTCTGCCATATTGGCTAATGCCCCTTCTTGGCAATACGACAGATGACCTGAGTTCACAAATGACCATTTCCCGTATTTATACTTGGGACTGGACTTTCATGTGTATTGCGGTGTATTCTGCATTTTAATTAGACCCATGAAAACATTTTAAATAACAAACAAATCAACAAACCTGGCACTTTGTCAAGGGAGGTTCTATAGCCCTGAGATGCTGCTGCAGGTCTATCTCCCTCTTCTTCAGCCATAATTTCCTTCTGGGGTCAGTTCTGTCATCGTAAAATTCAATGAAATCTCCATCAGCTGAGAAAAGAAGGACAGAGGTGTCTCTCAAAGGAGTCTCCAGGTTGTAGATCTGAAACAAAGGTGATAAATGGAAGCAGAAAATTTTTGTAAATGACATATAAAGAAATGGAATAAAACAACAATAATGTGAAATAAAGTAAAAATATACACAATCCTCCCGGGGGGATGGGAAGTGGGGGTGGAGGGGGGGCTGGAAGAACAGACAAAATATAAAAAATATAATTTTCACAGGCATTTCTCAATATTATCAATATCAAATAATTTACTATGACTCTCTAAAACTCCACTTATCATATTTATTAGACACATTTGTTATTGTAAATGAATTCATAATGTAAAATTTGAGTTCAAATTTTGAAAGAATTAACAGAGCATTTCACCCCATACCTCTACTGCATCAGCTCTGTGCCCCTCTCTGCCATAGAACAGTCTGTTTTCTGTTGTCACGGCAGCAAATTCCCCATCTGGACCTTCAAAAACATTGTCCAAACTTGTAGGGAAGAGACTCTATTTTGTTTAGTATGCATATATATAGTTAAAATCATGAAAATAGCTTCAATGAATCATATAAAGTAAGTCAAATTTTCAAAACAAAACTGTATTAATATTCAGTGTGCATATTTTCATCGCCCCGTAAATATTTTCCTACAATAAAGTTTTTGGCATAGACTGCTGCATATAAGCAGAATTAATCATTTATCCTTTTGCTCTTTAAACATATTTTAATAAGTTCTGAATAACGATATGAAATATACCAGTTATGATTTGTCGAAAGGTTTCCCCAGAGGAAAGAAAGCTGGTTTCGTTCCATCTAATGGTACTGTAGAGATGAACTGGTAACACAGTCTGCCCTGAAACAATAGAAGAAGGAACACGGTAAAATGACTCAATCTTTTCAATGGCGAAGAATTGTGAATTTCACAGATACTGTAAATTTTTATATCATAATTTCTTAAAATAAGAGCATTCCTACTGAGTGGTGACAACAAAACTGAAAAGCAGAATACCTTATAGTTCTATTTTATGAATTAAAAGCACCACAAATGCTATAAAAAATATTTATTAGGACAAAACCCACTGATTAATCTGCCAAAGCATTATTGTTTATTTACAGTGATAACTTAGAAAAAAAAGACACTGTATAAGGCACATATACAGACATAAAACAAAGCAATTTAGAGATACAGGTGACTTCTGGATTATTGCCATCCAAATACAATCA